CGTGGGACACGTACACCCACAATCACCCCCTGTGACGAGGCAGACAGGCTAGCAAGTACACCCACAATCACCCCCTGTGACGAGGCAGACAGGCTAGCAAGTACACCCACAATCACCCCCGTGACGAGGCAGAGAGGCTAGCACGCTAACTGCATGTTTTGGACTGCAAAAAGAAAATGGCCTTAGACTGAGGCAGTCGTAGGAACAGAAGCCGCAGACATGTGACCCAGTACTTATCAGCATCCACAGGAAGCGTATCACTTGACATTTTTCTAAGTGGGCTTTGAATTTAGCAATGAAACTTGCTCACAGAAGGGCACTTCAGATTAAAATTATAGACTAGGCTGGACTACATTAACTTGGGCAGAAGGCTAGATGACCTATACGCAGTAAGGAAAACAGAAAACCAGTTTAAAAATGTTTACATTTACTCTACTTTAATGAATCCGTTTGAATGATTTCCAACCATTCGTCTTCTATCAACGATAACCAGTTCAGGGTTACTGGCATTGGAATGAGTAGGTGTTTGCTATAGCACAGTACATTATGCATTTCTAAACCTAAATTATTGAATGTGGTTTGATGTCTTTCACAGTTTTGTTTTAGAGGCAGTTTTAGAAGAAGCCTAAATGTGAGCAATCATGACGATTCTGTGAAAGAAGCATCGCCCTTCGCTCAGAAATGTCCAGTCTTTATTAAATAAGATTACAGTGAAGGTTATGTGGACTTATGGAAGGAACCCAGCTACCAGTGTAAGATCGCTGATGGTCAAGGTAATTTCAGATAGTTTAAGATCAACTCAGCTCAACTCAAAGGACTTTCTCCTTGCCTTAAATATGGTGCATTAGTAATATTTTAAAGATTTACCGTCTGGCAGCCTGTCTGTCTGTGTTTGTCGAGGTGCAGTTTGCATCCTTTTTGCATGTCTACATATGAGCTAGCCACAATGTCTTAGGAGATACGTGGCAAGCACTCATGATGACAGAATGGAAGTTTAGGTGGTAGCACTGTTGCCTTACATCTTCTGGGTTGAATCCTGCCCTAATGCTGTGTGTGTTTGAATTTATGCACAACACTCTATGTTCAACTGGAGCAGCAGCCTCACTGGAGGGGTAGCTGTTGAAAATAAGCTTGTTGGTCGGTGTTTAAAACCAGCATTGACAAACATGCTGTTGCTGAAACATTTCACTGCTCAATTTTCATTTTGTTTCGCAAAAGAAGACATTTACCACATATTTTTATTATGTATTTTTTTGTATTATTAGTCAAAGATCTAAAAGCTCAGTTTAGGAAATATTTAAACTGTCTGAATTGAAGAAAATAGTGCACAAATATTGCATGTGATATTAAGTAAGGAAGTAATCCAGTAGTAATCCTCATACCTAAATACACTGAAGAAACTCATTCATCCATTGCCTGAAAATAAACTGCATGGATACTTGACAAGAAACCTTGATATATGTCAACAGTCAGATTCTGTTTTCGGAAATTATGAATGCCATTGTTTCACTCTTTTATTTTCTTTAAGCAAAATACTTTCCTGTATTTTGTATCGCATACACCAATAGGGATATTACACCAAAAATGAACACAGAACATCAAGCCTGAGTAAATTTCTTTTGCGTGGGTTACAGCATTACGCTTAAGGACAGACATAAATCTATAGAATTGCTCTTAGCCTGCCGCTTAAAAGGATGAAAATGTAGCCCCTGCTTCACCTGTAAAATTCACTGGAATGGGACACTTACTTCCGTGAAGACGGCCTTTGGTTCTCCGTGCTCCATCTTGTTGTCAAAGTCAGTGACCAGCACCTGATTTGTAATCCCCACGTCCAGAAGACCCATGCATGCTGCTGGGGTCCACTCCCTATCGCCCCCTACTGTTCAGCACAGCCCAGCAACACAGCTCCATCCAGCAGTAACTGACCACGAAGCTCCCCTTTGCTCCTGCGTTTGTGACACTGCCTGCTCGCACCCCGGTGCCTCCTCCTCTTCTTCGCTCGTCCCTCCTTTCTTCATCCCTGCAAACTGGCACTTTCATCATCGCAAACTGCGTTAGCAGGGAGGTTTGCCGCCTGAGGGGCTGCTCACTAATCAAGGGAAAATCTGGGAAGATTTTGTTATGAAATGAGCATTGCACAGGGTCATATTTACATTTTATTCATATACATATACATATAGAGGAAATGTATTTTTTAAATAGAGTAAATATAGGCAGTCCTGTACGTTTTTTTAAAGATTAATTATAGAAATTGTAGTGTTTCCCATGTTAATGTATGAGTTTATTTACATAAACACAATGTGTTAATTAATTGGAATATTAATGAAGAATATTTAACAAGGACAGAACCGTTAAATGCCTTTTTAAAAAAAGTTTCACAAATTATATATTGTTATGTTTAGAAACATTTTAAAGCAGTCACGATTCTCTGGAAAGTGATTTTCCTGTCCAGAAAAGCATTTTGATTAAACAAAATTTAGTACAAATTCTTCCATTTGACACTAATTAATAATAAAAATAATATTTTTAAAAATAATTTAAATAAAGTGCATTATCTATGTTCCAAAAGCCCAATGGTAAACTGACATTTTGATTTTGAATATTTTCTGGTTTCTAGTCCTTCATTATGCATATATGCCACTGGGAGCTTTTATGGCAGCCAGAAGCAGTGAGCTTTATGCACTGGAAGCTTTCACGCCAGCCAGAAGCAGTTAACTATATGCACTGAGAGCTTTTATGGCAGCCAGAAGCAGTGAGCTTTATGCACTGGGAGTTTTCACACCAGCCAGAAGCAGTGAGCTATATGCATTGAGAGCTTTTATGGCAACCAGAAGCAGTGAGCTATATGCACTGGGAGCTTTCACACCAGCCAGAAGCAGTGAGCTATATGCACTGGGAGCTTTCACGCCAGCCAGAAGCAGTGAGCTTTATGCACTGGGAGCTTTCACGCCAGCCAGAAGCAGTGAGCTTTATGCACTGGGAGCTTTCACGCCAGCCATAAGCAGTGAGCTTTATGCACTGGGAGCTTTTATGCCAGC